CCGAACTGGGTCTCGTGCAGACTTCTGCTCATCGACTGGACGAGACGAGCCGCGAGCACTCGCTCAAAGAGCTTACCCGCCTCGTCCAGGAGCACAATCGGCCGATATGCCGACGGCAGGCCCTCGTCCCGGCCTGGTTTCCGTAGTAGGACCAGTTTCCCCACCTTCCAACAAGCCGGAAACCGGCCTCGGTCCAGGCACATGGAGAACACCTCCCGCATCCATGCCTCCATTGCCTCGGACGCTATGTTCACCACCCGACCGGGAACTCCGTCCAAGCCCGGGGTGGTCCTCTTGCCCCGCAGCTTTGCACGCGCACGACACAGTTCCTCCTCGGACACCGCCGGACTACTGGACTCGTTTGGCGAGTTATCAGCCATAGCTGGAGGCGTCCAAGGCTCCCTTCGAGGAAACAACGCCTCCACCACCTCCTCCACGAACTGTGGCTGAAGAGTGGTCGTGATCGGCTGGGTCCAAGGCCTGGATTTGGCCCTGATGACCTTATACGGCCGCCCCCACGGATCCCGATCCAGTGACTCTAGCCACTCGTTCCAGGCCGCCTCCTTGGCAGCGCTGATCCCCATCTGCAGAGCCTTGCGTGCAGCCCGGTACTCCTCGTATAGGACGTCCTCTCTCTGAACGTCCCGTACACTCCTACGCCTGGCGCGGGCATGGCGACGGCGGGCGGTGACACACGCTCGACGCAAATCGCGGAGTTCGTCTCGCCACCAGTACACCCGGTGCCGTGGGGTGACGGGACGCGCTTTCGGCATCGAGGCTTCGCATATACGGACCAGCGCACCGCAGAACACGTCAACTTCGTGATCCAGGTTGTCGGACGATAACCCCCGGGACCACTCTTCCACGATGGCCACTTCTTTGGCCAAGGAAATGTCCAGTTTTCCCAGCACCCATTTTCTTCCATCTCCAGTAGGGGAAGCTCCGACTTGTGACGTAGAAGACGTGGCCACCCTGAAACGGATATAGCGGTGATCCGACAGGGTTTCCGCGTCAACCACCACTGCCCAATCTGCAATACGGCGCGCCAGGGGGGCAGAGGCGAATGTGACGTCAACCACCGACCCCCCATTGTGACGAACACACGTCAACTCGCTTCCCCTGTTGAGGACCTCCAAACCGAGGCTTATAGCCCACTCCTCCAGTAAATTTCCCCGCGCGTTCGTCACCGCAGATCCCCACGCTCGAGATTTGGCGTTGAAATCCCCGGCGACTAGCACGGGGCAAGGGTGCACTCTGTTGACTAGAGCTCCCACCTCAACGAGGACTTGCTGAAAAGCAGTAAAGCCCTCGTTAGGGGAGCAATACACCCCCACTACTGCAGTGCCACCCACGCTAACCATTACGTAGCCTCGGCCCCTGGCTGTAAATATCAGAGGAGGGGCTCCGTTGACCCGCGAGGCGACGATGGCCACTAGTCCCTCCGTATCCCCAACCCAGTCGTCCCGGGGCGGCACGACGTATGGCTCAGCGACCACTGCGATCTGTGTTTGCCACTCCGCCATGGTCTGGACAAAGAGATCCTGGGCCCTGGCGCAGTGGTTTACGTTCGCTTGAAGTATTTCTATATCCATGGATTAGGACGTATCCATGTCTCCTCTGTTGGAGGGCTTAGGGAGCCTTGCCCCCCCACTCCCCTTTTTCGCTGACTGGGCTTTTAGGCAGCACCCTTCGCCTCCGGCCACGTGTGTGGCTGGTTTTTCTAGCGCGATACACGCCGCACAGTTTGGATCGTTTTTGCAATCCCGTGCGAAATGACCCGACTGACCGCAGCGATAGCAGTGGCCCCGGGGAACTCCCTGAGCGACCTTGCACATGGCCGCTAAATGTCCGGTTGCCAGGCACCGGAAACATTTCCGAGCCACCGGTGCCATTGCTGAGATGCGAGCGGAACTCCATCCGACGAAGATCCGGCCCGCGTCAACCACTTTTTTGGCGGCTGCCGCTGGGACTCCCAGCAGGATAGCGCCCGACGTTGAGAGGGAACCTGCAGCGATAAGCTCGGCGGGGCAGCCGCCCACCTGAGCAACCGTTGCCACTACCTCAGCCTGAGTAACGGACTCGTCCAGGCCAGCGACACGGATTGAGGTGCGCATCACAGGGCGGTGGATCTTCACTGCCTCGGGATTCACTACCTCCCTGAGCTTTTCAGCGAAGAGGTCTGCCTTCGCAGCAGAGTCCTCCCCACCAATCTCAAATATCCGAGCCCCGGTCTGCGCTTTCCTCCATTTTAAGGGCCCAAGGCCCAGCGCCTGGACATCTACGCGTTGGCGCGCCTCCCTCAGTACCGCCTCATAGGAGGCGTTTTCTCCTGCTTCCGGGAGGATGGTGATTGCGACCGCCGCAGTCTTCGGCGGTCTGATCTTCACCGTCTTCTTCTTGGGGGGTGGTGGCGCCGTTTTTTTGGTTTTGGGGCGATCTTCTTTCTAACCACCTGGCTCCAAGACGGAACTTTGTTCTTCTCCGGGGCTCCTATTGACGGAGACGCGTCTACGGGCTTGAGCGATGACCCCAGCGCAGCCTCGGTTGCGGCCATAGATGCCTTCTTGCGACCCTTCTTTGAATGGCCCTTTGCCCCCGCTACAGCTGGCAGTGCTGGAGCCAGAGGTCCAGGAACCGTCGAGGTTGTGGCCGTCACCGCCGTCCTTCTTCCTTCACTGGCTAGCGGAGGCCTGAGCCGGAGCTCTGGCACATTCGCACGGCCCAATGCTTCCACAACCTTACGGACAACTCTGTCTTCATCGAACTCCTGAGTAGAAGCTTTAACGCTTTGAACAAGTTGGGCAATCGTTGCGTCCATCTCCTCCAGACGCTTGCGTAGCTCAGCGTTCTCTTCTCGCAAGAGCTTGATCTCCTCATCCCGCTTTCCGCTTCCTCGCGTGGAGCAGGCCACTGCTTGGAGTCTCGCCTCTTTCTCTTGGGCCCTGGCCAGCTCTACTTTGGCACGGTGTAAGCCAACGTATTGGCCAGTAGAAGGAGGCCTTCCCCGCCCTCTTTTTGATTTGTGCGCCGCTCCTTTGATTGGAGCGACGCTCGCCTCAGTGGCCGTCTCTTCCGCCGTCTCGGGAGAGTTGAGCGCACTCCCGGCGGACCTTTTCCTCCACAGCCGACTGTCCGAAAGTGACTCCGCTGTCCGCACGCTACAGTCCGACATTTCCGAATCCGACAACCTCGGCACACGTACTCGGTAATCCTTTATTCCATAGCCTTTGTCCAACATGGAGCCACCCACAATCTTTGTGGGTGAAGCCCCATCACTGTCCATCTCAGTCACCACATCAACTCCGCCCGTCACAGACATCAAAGTCTAAAGTCAGTTGACCTTGGGCATATAACACAAACACAGTCAGAGCGTTTTTAAAACACGACACGACAGATAACCTTGAATGTTACGAAACATTAGTCACGGACGCGATCGAACGGCACGTCCGCCTTCGACGGCTGACGCGCAGCGACTCCAAATGTGTTAATGCTTAGGAACAACTGCGTTATTGTATACTTGAAATTATATTCTTTCAAGTTTTTTTTTAATTCAACTAAATACTATGACATAAATTTTTGCAAATCAGAAATTTTGTATAAAAAAATTAAGAAGGCTATTCAGATGTACATCAGAGAACTTATTTTTCATTTTTTTTTTTTTTAATGTGAAAGCTGGCAAACGAGCAGACGGCCCACTTGATGGAAGGTGGTTACCGTCGCCCATGGACATCCGCAACATATATGTTGCGGATGCATTGCCAACCTTGTTTTGTAGGGATAGGGAGGGGCGGGAATAAGGAAATGGTAGGAAAGGATGGGAATAGGGAAAGGGTAACCGGCTCTCTCACTCATCGGACGAAACGCAGCCATTAAAGGCTACTTCACGCCGATCTTCTGTGAGAGGGTGGTACTTCCCCGGCCGAGCCAGCCCATGTTCGAGCTGTAGTAACGGACTACAGATAGGCTCTACCACCATAGAAATAATAGAAAATTGTTACAATTGAGTGAGGATAATAACACTTTAAGATACAGACCAAATAGTTTCAATAATTTCATATATTCTGTTTCTCTGATAATAAAAGAAAACCTTTTTATTATTTTTAAGTTTTTTTTTTTACATTTGATGCATAATTGCTGTGCCTAATGAGATAACTTATTGAACACTACGGTCTCAGTAAAAAAAAACCTATGCAAGATTCCATTCAAATATTTGACGGCCGCATTGTCCGTTTATTTTTTAATTACAATCAAATAATTTTGAGTTTATGATATTTTCTATTTTATGGTTAATAGTAGGATTTTAATTATATTAATATTTCATAGTTTTTATACAAACAGTTATAGTTGTATATATTTCAGTGATGTGAAAATTATTTAGTTGAAAATAAAGTAATGAAGGCAAAGTAGGTATGCTTAAAAGAGTACAAAATAATATATTTAATCTTAAAATGTATCTTATATACAAAATCTTTTAAAAAGGTGCTTAAAATAACGCCTATCTAAAGAGTATTCAAATTTACAACCATGTCACTTGGGTAATACATTTAACGAAATTGACAATTAAAACCTTAAGTATTAAGTAAAATAGAAGGTTATTTATTTAAAAAAAAACTTAGCTTTGCTGCCAAAAAGTCCCAAAATAAAATCAGAAAAAAAAAACATTTCTGTATAACATGTCTTTTAAATTTATTAGTGAATGAAAGATTATTCTTCCATAATGTATAAAATAATCAGAATCTGTAATGAGCGTTTAGGCCTCGGCCTCGAATTTTGCGGGCAGCGGAGCGGCGGCGGCGGCACGGAAACGCATACTGTTCTCCAAACTAGCGGGCAGCGGGCACCGCTGTATTCGAGGGTCGGTCCATTTGATTATACGCGTAAGATCCTGCCGCTCCCGCTGCCGCTCCGCTGCCCGCAAAATTCGAGACCGAGGCCTTAGGGATTTTTTACATTGACGAAAAGCGTATATGAGTGGCTGAAAGAAATTTTAGTTTTTTTTTATGTTAAAGGGGGCAACCGAGCAGACAGCCTACATGATGGAGGTAGTATCGTCGCCCATAGACATCCGCAACATAAGACATGTTGCGGATATGTCACCACCCTTGACTTGGGAAGATGGGGAGGGAGGAAAAAGGGAAGGGGTAGGAAAGGATGGGAAAAGGGAAAGGGCAACCGGCTCTCTCACTCATCCAACGAAACGCAGCCACTAAGGCTACTTCACGTCGATCTTCTGTGAGAGGGTGGTACTTCCCCGGTCGAGCCAGCACATGTTCGAGCTGCAATCACTTGACCACAGCTGGGCTCTACCACACAGTAAGCAATTATCAATAGCATAAATAATGAAAAAACATAATAAATTTTAAAAATATACTTAAAAATCATTGAAAAAACATAAAACAAGGGCCAAGGTTTTTGTATTGCTATGAATAAAATTTTCTTGATTCAATGAAACTAGAAATGAGGTGACTACAATTACTAATCAGGGCTAATTATAACTATACAACCGGAGCGAACAAAATATTCCGTTTTTGACTACGAATTTTATGTAATCTAGTGTCTATATTAGGTATTTTTTATTTTTTTAAAAAGCAGTTTTTAATCTATTTACCAGTACAATTATGAGATATCTACGGTTCTCATTGTCAAACTCCTAGCTCGAGGTAATGTAACAAGAGATTCAATTTTCATTTCTGTATACATATCCCAACTTACATGTCACTGGCTTCTTAGAATAAAAGAAGACCATGCATTAGATGGTATTTTATTATTTTTTTTGCTTCTAACGTATGGAGAAAATTATTTGTCAAAAATAGAAAATTAATTTGTCACTAGTCAATCAGTTAGACAGCTAGCTACAGGAGCTACTTGTAGGTATGGTCTTCATAATGACACTAGAATACTTTTGCTCTCTTTGATCCGTTTTCAAATTATATGCTTATATTTATCTACAAGTCCTAATAATAATTGAAAATATATATTTTAGATCTTTAAATTATCTTTATAAAATTTTCTTTTCATTAAGGTTTTATGTTTTAGTTATTAAATTCTGTTATAAATATCACAGAAACATTTTATTTCAAAAGTCAAAATGGGTCTGTAGTCATGTTTTCCTTATCAGGGTCTACAGATACAACAACAGTGATTTTCATTTGATTACATTTTTACTGCGCCAGATTTAAACTATTATGAGTCTGTAATCGTTTGAACTTATTAAAATAGTATTATAGGAGTAATAGAGAGACGAAACCTCTTAGCATTCGATGGATTCACCGTGCGGGTGCCGGGTCCATCGCGTTGCAGGGAGAGGAGCTTCAACAGTGCCTGGGACTTGCGACCCAGGTGTAGGTTTAAGGGGCCCCTTAACTAACGCGCGTTATACGCTCACCTCCACTGTCCAAGTTCCTCTCCCTACCTAACCAAATTTGAAAAGAACCTACTAGGGCTGCCTTCGACGTACGTTCTAAGAATGAATTAATGTTAGTTCTGGACAGGCCCAAGTCTTTTAGTAGGTTATAGAGAGATTTAGCTGTTATACCTCTCGCTCCCACCTCTACCGCGTACAAATCAACGACGAACCTATTTCGAGTTAGTTCGTTAGTGAGCTCGTAATACTTATTGACCTTGATGGCATGGTCTTTGGGGATGTTGGTTTCCCAAGGCACCGTAAGCTCTATCATCACAACGCGCTTTAAAATACGCGAATATAGAAATATGTCTGGTCTGGAGGCCGACGCACAAATATCCTCGGGGATTTTGTATTGTTTCTCATACGTATCCATCATGATAGTCCAATCCGAAGCCGCTTTAAGGATAGAGTAAGGCTTGACGTTTGATTTTATAGCCCTGGTGCCCTCTCTCACAAAACCTATTGATCGCTCGTTTGTGGTTATTTCCCTTTGCGCTCTGGCTACCGAAAGACTAACCGCTTCACGTATGATCTCTAAAACCCTATCGTGACGACGCGAGTATTGACCGCTGTCCAGGAGAACCCTACATCCCACCAGCAAATGCTTGGCAGTTCCAACTGCCTTTCCGCAGATATAGCAAGTTTTTTCGGTACCTTTACCCCATCTTACTAAATTACTCTGATCTGGGAGAGTCATCTGGAACGCATTGAGATAAAATTTTAGCAAGGCTGGCGACCAGTCATGAATTAGGGTGCGCCATTTTAGTGCTAGTGGAATGCAAAAATCTCCTATGTCTAACCAATCGTTCTGCATTTCTAAACTCATTGCATGGATCTTGTATTTATCGTTCTCGTCTTGCCGAATAAAAGACTTCAATATATCCGTATCTTGGACTTTCCTACTTGATCCTAACCCTACTCTGTTATTTTGCGCTCCGATCATAAATTGTTTATGGAATTGAAGTCGTGACTCTAGCTCTGGGGCATCATTGTCTTTTGGGAGTGATGTAACGACGTCATCATGGGATTTTCCCAGGATATGTCTCTTGGAAACTCTTAGGTGTTTGTAGAGCTCCGATGGTCTTTTTAGATTCATCCCAAAACTATTACGATCCCTGAATAAAGCCGATGAGTCAGCCGTTAGCGCGAGCCCGAGCCACAACTTCAACATCTTTATGACGCCTGCATCTAATTTAGATAAAAGGGTTTTACTAAAATCATAGACGAGGAAAGGCCAATTCAAACGTGAAGTTAAGTAATTATCGTAGATCCATGCTTTTTTTACGTTACTGATCTGCTGGCTATCTACCTTGTTGAGATCATTTAAAAAGCTATCTACTATTCCTTCTAAAGATGGAGTACGACCTATATTATCAATCTTACGACCGAGAAACTTGAATGGTGCATTTTCCGTAACCGTAGAAACGCATTGACCGCCTATCGATAGTCCCGGATCGTATGAGGTGTATCTTGTATTCCGCCTACCAAGACACAGACAGTGACATTTACTTGGTTTTGTCCTCAATCCATCCGTCCACTCACAGAATTTATCCACTTCATCCAATAGTACTTGACAGTGTTTGGGGTGACGTGTCAGTATTGCGAGATCGTCAGCGAAGGCTAAAATGGATTCCGTGTATTTGTTATTGAACTTAAACCGATACCCCCATTTTTTCTCATTGCTGATAAGTTTATCTACTAGGATATTGATTACAATATTAAATACTATTGGAGATAAACAGCACCCTTGGAATAGTCCTACATTGTAACTCAAACTTTTTGAAGGGCCTTCTTTAGTTATAATAGAAAACTTTAATTTTGAGTAATACGACGCAATCATATCGCTAACTAAGGGTGGAAAGTTATACCATCTAAGCGCGAATAGCATCAACTCGTGTTGTATCGACCCGAACGCGTTCTCTAAGTCTATCCAACAAACTGTAATTTGCCGCTCGCTTTTTCTAGCATCTTTCAAACTCTCCGACAGCAAGGTGTTGTGTTCTAGGCATCCAGAAATCCCGGGTAGAAACCCTTTCTGGTGATTTGGCCTAAAATACTTGTTGCTGAGCATGAATCGCGTCATTCTCGTTTGTAGGACCGAGAAAAAGATTTTAGATATTGTATTTGTTAAGGCTATCGGTCTAGTATCTTTCGGATCGGTAACTCGATCTTTTTTGGGAATGAGGACAAACATTGCTTTCCCGAAACACTCCGGGATTTGCTTCCTTGACCAGATTTTGCCGTATATATTTATGAGGTGTTTACGAACCGATGGACATTTTTTAAAGACTATATATGGGATACCATCGGGGCCCGGTGCAGATTTAGATGATTTCCTCTTTATGTGACTACTTATTTCGTCTAACGTTGGTGGTATGCCGTGAAAATCGATATGAGGAATTTCCGGTTTGTGTTCGTTTGGATCCGTATAGAGCCTTACACTTTTAGGCACTTCGTATGTGCTCTTGAAATGGTCGTAAATTTGATCGTTGGTCAAGAGAAGCTGTCCGCGTTCTTTCTTAAAAATGGTTTTCGAATACTCAAAAGGGTTTTTATCAAAATCTACTTCCTGTTTGGCCCGGTCAAAATTACCGCGATATTCTGCAGTTTGTGCCGATATTCCTTGAATTAATTTAAGGATTGACCTTAACGCCCTAGCTAGCTGATGACTAAGGTGATTGTCGCCTAGAGCTTTGGCTATACGTAGATTTTTTATTAATTCCCGTTTTTTCTTCCTCATTTTTATCTTGAACGAATTTTCTTTATTTTTGCGAGCGTAATGATTACGTGGTGGATATTGCTCGTTGAAGTAGTCATAAACGGTATTTTGGAAAGTTTCTACATGCGAGTTCAATTCCTGCTTCGAGCCCGGATGCTCTAACAGGACCGCTAAATTGTCGTCGTGAACTTTCCAAGTCGATTGTTTCATGTTAGGAATGCTAAGACGTGTCCGGATGTTAATGGACTCCTGGTGGTTTCCAGTTAATGGTTCACCATGGGATACGTGAGGGTCAACTCTATCCGAAGTGATAATTGAAGAACTTACCAACGATTGTCGCGCTTCAACACCATTATGTGTTTTTAGGTGTTTAATGTACCAGGCTCGTCTCTTGTAATTTTTCCCGCACGTAGGGCATTTCAAGTCCGTATTCGCGCCGTTTTCGCCGTTTAAATCGACCGGTGGACAGATCTTCCGCCCCCCCTCTCGGACTGTCCCAGGGGTATTTTTCTTTATAGGACTTTTAGCTTAATAAATCCCGGGCTGGGCTTGCTAGGCCGTTGCCCTCAATGATTAATCAAAATTCAACGTATCAAGAGTTCATTAAATTAATATTTTATTCAAAAATATACATATTTAAATTAAATAGTTACTATGGTATCACAGCAAAAGATATAACGAAAATTTTTATGTTTATTTTGTACCTTACAATTTCAATACGCTCAGGGTTTGTTTATTTTTTTGGTCGTATATCAAATAATAAAAGGTTTTTTATTTATAAGGTTTAGTTGCCTGATGAACTTCTACATTGCTGCTAATCTACTACAACAATCTAATTATATCAATGAACCATTTCACTGCTATAGCAAGAGTAATAAAAAGCTAGTAATAAAAAGTTCAAATTAAAAATTCTTCAATTTTCGTAGATGGAGCAATACGTACCTATGTACATGTTCATCAAAATATTTTGTAGAGAAAAATTTTAATTGGAATATTAACAGATGAATGTTGCCGAATAGATTTAAGTCCTCTATAAAAGTCTAAGGTGATCATTTCCAATAGAATATTTATTTTATTTTTTACTG